TGTGAGACAGGATGCTGGACTAGATGGACCTTCACTGGTCTGACCCAGCAGGGCTCTTCTGGTGTTCTTATCAGGAGAAGGCCTCGGCCTCTCTGCCCTGTTGTTGGCCCTCCAGAGGAACTGGCTGGCCACTATGTGAGACAGGATGCTGGACTAGATGGACCTTCACTGGTCTGATCCAGCAGGGCTCTTCTGATGTCCTTCTCAGGGGAAGGCCTCGGCCTCTGTGCCATGTTGTTGGCCCTCCAGAGGAACTGGCTGGCCACTGTGTGAGACGGGAGGCTGGACTAGAGGGACCCTCCCTGGTCTGACCCAGCAGGGCTCTTCTGATGTTCTTATCAGGGGAAGGCTTCAGCCTCTCTGCCCTGTTGCTGGCCCTCCAGAGGAACTGGTTGGCCACTGTGTGAGACAGGATGCTGGACTAGATGGACCTTCACTGGTCTGACCCAGCAGGGCTCTTCTGGTGTTCTTATCAGGAGAAGGCCTCGGCCTCTCTGCCCTGTTGTTGGCCCTCCGGAGGAACTGGCTGGCCACTGTGTGAGACAGGAGGCTGGACTGGATGGACTCTCACTGGCCTGATCCAGCAGGGCCCTTCTGATGTTCTTACGGAGTTTACAAGAACCAAATAGCAGAACGGTAAACTTCCTTCACACTTTAGGTTTAGGGAAGAGAGTTCTGTCGTGTAAAACGAACAAGGGGAAAGTGGGAGGGCCACCCCACGAAGCAGTGAGGGCACAGTACTTTTTTGGGAGGCGGCGGGGGCTTCTGCTGGAAAGCCAACTTCACAGCTTCGGCTGCCGACTCTGGCTCTTTGACGATGCTCTTCTTGGAGTCCGCTTCGGACAGCACGACGAAGAAGTGGTGACACTTTTCACATTTCACAAAGCGGGTCGAAGCTATGAGAACCACAAAGAAGCACTAGTTAAGAGTTATCACACAGCAGATAAATCTACAGCATTTCAAGCAGTTACAGGGAATGGATGCAAGTCCAGAGAAACAGTCCACCTCCTATTTGTTGACAAGAAAGGAGCCCTTTAAGCCATATTTTGTTTTTTGTAAGTTCATACTACGTTCATTTGAAATATGGTATTACAGGAAAGTTTTAGGAATACTGTGGGCTGCCAAAAAGACATATAAGTGAGTTCTCGATCAAATCAAGCTTGCACTCTCTGTAGAAGCTAAAATGACAGAACTGGGGCTGTCATCCTTTGGTCACATTAGGAGTAGAGATATAAAATTTCCGGAAATTTTGAAGCTCGAGAAAAACCTGTTTTTTTGCCAGTTTTTTTCGGGGGGAAATGGAAATTTTCGGAAAAATTGAAATAAATGCTACATTAGCATTTCTTTTGTCTTTTCCAGATTGAAAGTCATTCTGTTACTTTAGGAACATAAAATATGACTATGGACATTTTTACTTGGCATGAAATTATCACAACTAGCGTATTAAAAATATAGTGTATCCAAACAATGATTACAAACAGAATATACCCACCCACATGCAAAAACAAAACTGAAACCTTTTTATTTTCTTGTGACAATAGCACCTCCTAAAGGAAGAAATGCATCTTGTTCTTGCATTGGAGAGTTCAGTTTGTAACCTAGGACTTGCTTGTCCTCAGTGCACAGAAATTAGATCAATCTGATACCATATATATATATATTTAGAAATGATTTGGAAAATATTTGAACACCTTGTCTTAAAATATTTTATTAATCATGTTAAAATAAAACGTTCCATAATCAATTTTTTTCTTTTCTTTTTTCAATTTTTCCAATTTTTCAGAAAAAAACAAAAAAGGCTTCAGGGAAAAAAACGGGGGGGGGGAATGGTTTTCCCCCCGAATTTTTCCGGTTTTTTTCCGGGCCTTCACATCTCTAATTAGGAGAAGACGAGAGTTACTGGAAAAGACAATAACACTAAGAAGAAGCCAGAAGGAAAAGAGGAAGACCCAACATGAGAGGGATGGATTTAAGGAAGCCACCTGCCCTCAGTTTGCAAGGCCTGAGCAAGACTGTTAATAAAGTAATTAATTCATAGGGCTACCATAATGAGGTTATTAATTCACAGAGTTGCCATACGTCCAGAGCAGCCTGATGGCACTGAACACACACAGTACTAAATACGTAATAAACCATTCTGTCAAGCTGGTTAATGCTTGGGCTTAATGCTGACTTAGAATGATTCTGTTGAATTCTTCTGCCACTGGAAAGATTTTCATCTGCAGAGTCCAACTTTCTCACCTCCCCCCCACGACAGTTCAAAATGCCCCTCCCAAAGTACAACTTGTGGGGTACAGGGGAATCCCAGGAACTGCATGGAGAAATCGGTGAAACCAACATCCCCACCAGAATCAGCAGAAACCCAGCAAAGGATGCAGCCCATTTTCTATTTTTAAATCTGGATTGAATAAAAACCAAAATGTGTTTTCTGGAAAAAAAACAAACTGCATGCACAATTTACCATTGAAAAGACTGTTCTGTCACCTCTGTTTTCTGCAGTCAACAGACTTTTTTACACTTTGAAAAAAGTATCAACACTCTAAATATCTCAAAAAGCCTTTGAGGAAAAAAGCTGTTAAGTACAATGATCTGGTACGGGCTATTTCATCTTGGATTTAAACATGTTGCCTTTTTGGTCCAAGAGAAGAAATATCCTGGCCCCCCCCCCCCATCCATTCCGAAAGCTCAAAGTGACCAAGTAGTAAATACTTCCATAAAGCCTACTTTCCAGATCTAGAAAGGGGAGCAGGCGTCGGCCAACCAGGTGGAAAAATGTTCTGGATGGCTGAAGGGTAACTAGATCCAATAATCCAAAGCCTCTAAGCGGAGAAGGACAGCGGTGGCTTTCTACTTTCCAGGAAGAAATATGACACCAGCCCTTTATATATGCTGCTCCTATATATTTATTTATTTATATTTAAATTTATATCCCGCAGCTCGAGACCCGAGTGCCGCGTGACGGAGTGAGCTCCCGTCTCTAGTTCCAGCTCCTGCCAACCTAGCAGTTTGAAAGCAAGAAATTGCAAGTAGATAAATAGGTACTGCTTCGGTGGGAAGGTAACAGCATTCCATGCGCCTTGACAACTAGTCATGCTGGCCACATGACCACAGAAACGTCTTTGGACAGCGCTGGCTCTTCGGCTTGGAAGCGGAGATGAGCACCGTCCCCTAGAGTTGGATTCGACTGGGCTTTCGAGCAAGGGAAACCTTTACCTTACCTAATAAACAATCAGTTCCAGCTTTGTGAAAGTTGTTTAATGGGGCCCAGTAACATTTCCCCGAGACAGAAGGCTTATTACTTGACAATGCAGTTCTAACATGTGGCCTTACTCATGTCTGTAAACAAGTGGAATTTAGGGGACACGTTTGACGCCTTATTTGTGAAGGTTCTCTTGTAAACGTGTTGTCAAAAACTAGGGGTGTAAATCATTAAACATTTAAATGTTAAGGATTAGTTTACCGTTCTGTCATGCTGTAAACCTTTGAATGTTTCCCAAGGCTTTTTCAGGATTACCTAAGGCCTGCGGAACAAATATTGTCCAAGGCTGGCCTGACCAACTGGAATAGATAAAGTTGTACAGCCATATTGGTCCACACAAAATCCAAAACCAAGGACAAAATACCTTGTGTCAGGACCAACCAAACTGACACTGGGCTATCCATTTGGTTGGTCTTAAAAAGGGTATGACACAAATCTGGTTCTTAGTTTTGGACCCTGCTCTTTGTCAGCACTCAAGTGACACTGGAGCATGTTAACTTTTCTTAACAAAAATCCATAGCAGAGCTAATTATATATATGTGGGTTACACAGATAGTGAGTTTGTTAATGTTTAAACATTCCAATGATTACATCTTTGTTGGTTTAAAAGGTTTCTTCTTTGAATGAAATTTACATCCCAACCTCAAACCAAATATACCCACTCTTAAGGACGTCATGTTTCCAGTTTTCCAAAGTGCTTTTGCAAGTTTCAAAGGCTGAACAAAGCAAGAAATATGAAGAGTGATCGACATTATTTTGCTCTAAGGAGCAATAAAGTAACTCCTTCAAAAATCATTTTTTAATTTTTAATCCATTTAATCCATTTAATAACATGGGATCGAAAAAGTGGAAAACTGGAAGTCAGATTCAATTCTCAGCAGCAAAAATTCTATACAGAGAGATAAATGGTATATGGAGTAAAGGTTAGAGAGTAAGACTAAAATTGGGAAGACTTGGATTCAAATCCCCACTCTGCCCCTGAAGCTGGCTGGGTGACCTTGGGCCAGTCACAGCCTAACCTACCTCACAAGGTTGTTGTGAGGATAAAATGGAATAAAGAAGAACAATGTAAGCCACTTTTGGGGGCCCCATTAGGGAACTATGCAAGGTATGAATGAAGTACATAGACAAATAAAAACGTTTCAAGATAGAACAACCCAAAACTTGAACCAAAAGATGAGAAACAGCAAGTGCGATAATGCCTTCAATGGCCACTACGAAAATTTGGTCTTTTAGGCATGCACTAACACAGCCAGTTCATTGGGTCACTGATACCCCCCAGTACGAACTGGCCTGGGTCAAACCAGGCATGACAGGGAAGCCGCCCTGGCTGCTAAGAGGTCGGCTCAGCTCCCATGTGAAGTGACTGGGCAGAATTTTTAGAACAGAAGGTGAGAGCAGGTGAAGTTCTGACTTTACCTCCGTTTGCTGCCCCTGGATGTGAGCCAGGTCGTTGGGGAAGTGCCCAAAGTGATGGAGCACAGCAAAGAAAAACAGGCGAGGAGGGGACGGCTTTGGCTGCCCTGCCCGCTGAACATCAAACAGATGTTCTCCCCCAGGAACGACACACACGGGCATGTCTTAATTCACACCGATGATCAGAAACGCAGTCTGTGTGCTTGGGGCTCTTTAACTTGGAGAAACTACGGCTGAGGGGGTGACATGATTGAGGTTTATAAGATTATGCGTGGGATACAGCAGGTGGAGAAAGAGGTACTTTTCTCCCTTTCTCACAATACAAGAACTTGTGGGCACTCAATGAAATTGCTGAGCGGTCGGGTTAGAATGGATAAAAGGAAGTCCTTCTTCACCCAAAGAGTGATTAACGCTTGGAATTCACTGCCACAAGAGGCGGCGGCGGCTACAAGCATGGACGGCTCCAAGAGGGAATTAGATAAGCATATAGAGCAGAGGTCCATCAGTGGCTATTAGCCAGAAGGTATATATAGGGACTCTCAGTCTGGGGCAAGTGATGCTCTGTATTCTTGGTGCTTGGGGGGGGGGTCAACAGTTGGAGGGCTTCTAATGTCCTGGCCCCACTGCTGGACCTCCTGATGGCCCCTGGTATTTCTGGTCACTGTGTGACACAGAGTGTTGGACTAGATGGGCCATTGGCCTGATCCAACATGGCTTCTCTTATGTTCTTATGTCTGGGGCAGTGACACTATGTATTCTTGGTGCTTTGGGGGGGCAACAGTGGGGGGGGGCTTCTGGTGTCCTGGCCCCACTGCTGGACCTCCTGATGGCCCCTGGTATTTCTCGCCACTGTGTGACACAGAGTGTTGAACTGGATGGGCCACTGGCCTGATCCAGCATTGGCTTCTCTTATGTTCTTATATGGAACAGAGGTCCATCAGTGGCTCTTAGCCACAAGGTATAGACAGGAACTCTCAGTCTGGGGCAAGGGATGCTCTGTATTCTTGGTGCTTGGGGGGGGTGTCAACAGTTGGAGGGCTTCTAATGTCCTGGCCCCACTGCTGGACCTCCTGATGGCCCCTGGTATTTCTGGCCACTGTGTGACACAGAGTGTTGGACTAGATGGGCCATTGGCCTGATCCAACGTTGGCTTCTCTTATGTTCTTATGACCACCCTGCACAATGCAGGCTGGTTTTGCCAGATTCTGGAAAGACGGGGAAGCCCACCAGAGAGTTTTGATCAGCCACCTCATGTTCCTGATCACTCCCAAAGGGGAAATGCCAGGAATGATCTACAAAGCGGCAACCACCCTCCCTACTTCTTTCCCAAGCCGCCACCGGACGTGTGGCCGGACCTCTAGAAACCAGCTGTACTTTCTCTACACTCCCGTTCTATTTCTGGTGTGTGTGTGGGGGGGACATGTAAGCACTCATACGTTCATGATCGAAGCCCCGATAGCCCTGGAACTCATCGCTGGGCCTTCTAACACCAGGGATTTAAATACTATATTTGTGACCATCAGTTCTTTGCAGCCGGTAGAAACAAACATACTGGTGTACCTCTGCTAAAGGTAGTATTTCCACAGCTGAGACACCAACTTTGCGGACACTATTAGATTACAAGGAGGCTGGCCCTTGCAATGAACATTTGAGCTACACAGTCCACAGCAGTGTTCCCTCTAAGCTGAGTTAGTGTGAGATAGCTCACAGTTTTTTAGCCTCCGGCTCACACATTTTGGTCTCAGCTCAGGAAGGATGGCTCCGGAGCAAACTAATTTATGCAGTATCCAAATCGCTCGCTCACAACTTTAATGCCAATAGCTCATAAAGTAGAATTTCTGCTCAAAAGACCCTACAGCTTAGAGGGAACATTGGTCCACAGTCCTCTTCAGTCAAAAGTATAAAGAGAGGGAGGGGGGGGGAGACAGAGAGAGAGAGAGAGAGAGAGAGAAAGAGAGAGAGAGCCCAAGAGGGGGGGAATATACCAAATCTATTGCTTCTCCTTTAAGAGTAAGGAAACTTCACGGGCCTCCACAGAAGACACATCTATTATAAGCAAAACAAAGCTCCAAGAGGCCAGAGCCAATTCCTTCTCCTGTCCTGGAATGCCCTCGGGCCCATGCTTGCACCGCATGACTTCTTGAGCGTAACAAGGCCAGACACGTGAAAAACCCTACTCCAGACCTTTGTACCCTTAAAGGCTTTTTGGAAACCGAGATTACGTGGTCAAATACCAGGCAAACTCGCTTCTGACGCACAGCAACCAACATGCCAGGAGATTCTTGATCAACAGGAAGTTGTTTTCACACGTGCATAAAACAGCGGATTGCTAATGTGTTCCTATATTTGGCCAGAACCACAAGTTGGCCTTCAATGAGAGTGAGGGCGGAAGCATGCAAGACCATCTGCAAACACGTCTACAGTGACTGCGGAGACAACTTCCCCAAAGAATGCTTTTCGTGCAACACAACCACCACTGACAGTTATGCACACTACAAGAACAAGATGCACAGATGTGTGCAAACACCTGCCCTCAAAGCTATACAGTCGGACAGACATTCTGTGGAAGGCACACAGGAGACGGAAAGACACTTCCATTTTCGCTCTCAGGGCATCAGATGTCAAGATGCCAACCCCTGTGCACAGCTGCAAAATGTTTTCCTTCTCAAATGCCTGCATCTGATTGCTTATTTAGAACACTTAGGTGCTGCCTCTTGAAAAACCTGCTCGAAGCAGGTTACAACGAAAAGAACAGATTTTCAGGAACCAGTTTCTCAAAGGAATGTGGGTTTTTCCAGCCGCTGTGACGTGTCATCTCTTCAGTTAGAAAAGCCCCCGGGGGATTTCCTCTGTCCACTTGGCTGCTCCCACCCTCTTGGTGGTTGACCTCTGACTAGAGGGGAGGTGGCTGCTCTGCCTTGGGCCTTTCCCCTCCTCTCTATGCTCCCTCGGCTTCAGTGCGCAAAAAACCCTGGATGAGACCAACTAACTAGCCTCCGCCCTCCCTTGACCATCGGCCTTCTTCCTCTGACGGCGGGTATCACTGGGGCAAGGGCGGCACCACTTTTCTGCTTGCTTCAAGGCTGTCTGCTGCAGCTCCAGCAGGTGCTTGAGAGACGTCATTCATACCGGCTCCTGGCTGTAGTTGACTCGTGGCCCTTTGGGGCTCGCTGCTGGCAGACCCAGCCTCAGCAGGGAACAGTTTGGAACTGGCCTGCAGACGCACCCTGCCTGCTAAGACACGCTTCCAAATCTGTTGTTTACAAGGAGGTTTCAGGACTGATGCAGTGCAGGGGGACCCACAGAAACGGATTCTCGACCTGGACCTCAAATTAGATATGAACATCCATGGGATACGGAGACAGGGAGGTCTGGGTTTGAATCCCTGTTCAGCCAGGAAGCCAGCCAGGTGCCAGGTAGCCCTGTCATAGGTCTGGAACGTGGAGGGGTGCTCTCCCGTCTTCTGTCTCAGCTCTCCCTGGCTCACCAACTGTTTGCTGTCTTATGCTTGACCTTGTAGATGCTCCAGCTGCAGTTTTACTCGGCTGGGAAAGTCAACGTTTTTTTGCTTTGCCTGCTTGGTTTGCCTGCACGTGCAAGATGTATCCATTGGCTCATGCTTACAGGGGGGGATGTTTGATTCTAGTATAAGTTGGAGGCCCTAGTTTTGGCGGCCATTCCTGACACAAGCTGTACACGTGTCTCTAGTACTGGATTTACCAATAAACAGTTATCTTCTCATGAAGCCCTGTGTTGCGTAATCTAACTAAGGACCCGGACACCAGGCTACTTCGGGCCAGTCGCGCATACTCAACGTAGCCTACCTCACAGAGCTGTTGTGAGGACAAACCGGGAGGACCGTTCTGCATTTCACTTTGAGTTCCTTGTAGGAAGAG